AGCTGGTGTACTTGGACCTGGATTATTAGCTAAAGGGGTAAGTTAAATTTAATATTTTTTGTATTTAAAAGAAATATTTTTCAATTATTCCAAAAAAAATTTATGAGTTTCTTAAAAAAACTTTTTAAATTTGAGAGGATAAATAAAATTTAAGGCTCCATAAAAAAAAAAAAAAAAAAAAAAAAAAAACTTTATTAACAGATGAATAAAAATTCGAATACTTTTGGTCAGACCAATGGGAAACCTGATTTTTTGAGACAAGCTGCGGGAACTTTAGTCGGAATACTAGGAGGCGGAGGGTGTTCGGGATTAACCGTACGTAATTTCTTCCTGAGTGTGTGCGTGTGTAGTTTTGCGTTGTTTTGCGTAGATATTTTATTTTTCAAGTCATTTCCCATTTTTTAGAGAGGTCAAAGAGCTCCGCCGCCACCTCCGCCTGCACCGACAGCTCAAAATTACTCCTCAATATTGGATCAAGCCGGATCGGCTTTATCGGGAATTTTAGGTGGTCGAGGGTTAGGTAGTGCATTAGGCGGCACACGAAATTATCGATATTGAAAGAAAAAATTTTTCTCATAAAATCAATTAATTCATACCTCATATATATATATATATTTAATTATTTGTTTAACAAACGCGCATGTCTACGATAAGACAATACGAAAAAAAAAACAGGTACCTTTTACTAAAAAAATTATTTCCAGCATCAAAATCGTAACGTTTTGGGAGGAACTTTAGGAACCGCCATTGCAGGGGCCGCTCTTACTGGTCATTTAAACCCGGTAAAAATTTTGTATTATCCTTTAATACTCACCATTATTTGGCTTATTATGGTTTTTAGACAAAGTTTTAACAAAGATTTACTACTCATATGCAGGAATTGGTCATTGAATTTCGCTTAAAATTAAAAAGATAAAACTTTCTTTTAATGAAGAAGCATCACTGTTGATTTGACCGCCGCCATTTTAAATTCATATTTTTGCTTCCCATAATAATATATCGGTTAAAGTTTTCTCATTTTTGGCAAATGATAAATTTCAAATGCATGAAACATTTTAAAAAATTAATAAATTTTACATCGATTAAAATAGCATGATGAGATTTTATTAACAGTTGACGGAATTGTTTTATAGAATCTAATGAGGCTGAGTTGTAACACACTAAATGAAAAAATAATAATAATATTTGCTTTCATTTAGGAAAAAACTTATTTTAAAATAACAACAACAAACAACAAATAGCTTTCGTATAAAATTTTCAGATCAAAGCTGTGAAAAAGCAAAAAAAAGCTCAAAAAAAAGCACTTAAATACGGTCTTCCATTGGCAGGAGTGGGTCTCGGAGCTTATGCTATACATAAAGGTTTCAAAGGTTTTCGACGAAGTTCGAGTAGTAGTAGTAGTAGTTCTAATAGCGATTAATGACGCACCAATCGTGTGTATAATTAAATTAACCTTCTTTTTTTTTTTTTTTTCTAATCAAATTTTTATTTTTTTATTCGAAAAGAAAGAAAAAAAAAATTTATTTTTATATAAATTTTATATATATAAGTAAATTACGTAAAATTAATTAACCCCCCCCCCCCAAAAAAAAAAATGTCACACGGTAATAATTGTGAATTAATTTTTCAGTATTAATGTTTTTTTTTTAAAAAAACAAAAAAAAACTTGTTGTTAAATTGTTATTGAATCACTTTATTGTTGTTGTTTTTTTCTTTTTATTGTTATTGTTAACCTAATAATTTATAATATTTATTAATGATAAATAATTTAATTAAATTTAAAATTAATATTTTTTTATTGACTAATTAATTAAAATAATGAAAAATAAAACGGTTTTTTGTTTGTTTATATTTTCGTTTATTATTTTTTCTCAATTTTCCGAATCGTGGCTCGAATTGAATTCTTCTTCTTCGTCGTTTTCCAAGGTCGAATCATCCGAGGAAGATGACTCGTTTTCGTCATGTTTTAAATTAGGGTCGTCCAATGGTGGTTTCCAAGGATAATAAGTGGAAAATATTTGATAAAACGGTTTCGATTTAGAGTGTAAATATTTGGTAAACCTCAATGTTTTTTCATCGCGGTAAATGAGAGAAAGAGAATTCATTTTGTAACCGACGTGTAATAGCTGGAAAATTTTTTAAATTAAAATTAGGTTATTTTGGTTTTAAAGTGTTAAAAAAAAGAAGAGAATTGAAATTCACGCACGCATTCATCTTCTTTCGAATCCGAATCTATGTACAATACATGACCAGCTTTTGGTAGATTATCATCGTTTTCTTCAAATTCTTCACCATCATTATTTGTTTTCATTGGTATTCTTAAAATCACGTCTAATCCGCTCGCGTGAAAATCAGAATCGTTATCGTGTAATATCGTGTAATTGTAGGGAATCCATTTTTGAAATTCTATGTGACATTGTGGTAATATCCCTTTTTTCCAAATATTTAAATCCGAAGTTTCCGATGGGACAAAATCCAAAGAGGTTATCGATTTGAGAAACGTGAACCAAGTTTTCGATTCCAATATATTTTTTATTGTTTTTAAATTAGGTGGCAATGTATTCAAATCAGCTGTTTTGTAGTTTCTATCAATAAAAAAAAAAAAAAAAAATTTAAAACCTCAAATTTTAAAAACAATTCAATTGTCAAAAAAAAAAAAAATGATTGTTTTGATATTTTATTGAAAAAAAAAAAAAACGAACCTTACATTTAAGGGTCCTTTGTCAATCCAATTTATTTCCTCGCTATCAAATTCACTTGTTATCTGATTCCAAAATTTCGATATAAGAAAATTATCAAGTTGAATTTCAGAATTTTTAGAAAATATTTTTTTTATGTTTAACTTATTTTCAATGTCTAAATAAGTAGGTGAAAAAAAATTATTTAATTCGAAAATGTCATCGCTACAAATATTTTTATTCAGTGTTAATTTTTTATCGTTTTGTTTACTCGACATTTTTTTCGTCGAATGAAACCATCCATTTAAGGATAACCTTTTTTTGTTTTTTGTTAGTATTTCAGAAACCTGTAACATATTAAATTTCTTATCAGAACAACAACTATTTTAATTATTATACTATTGAATAGGAAATTTTATTAGGAAGAACCTGATGAAATGAAGAATGGGATACTTCGAAAAACACCATTGTATTCAACTTTGGATATAAACTTTGTACAATTTTGTCAGGGTAACCATCATTATTAGCAGAAAACAATTGAAGTGCTCCTCCATCTTTTTCATTCCAGTCTTCGACTAAATATAATATAAAAGCTATGTGACGATCTCCACATTTGTCATCATGACAAAGTAATCTATCTGAAAATGTATACAATTACTTAAAAAATGGTTCGTTTTTAAATTGAACAGGCTAATTAATACACATAATGAGGACATTTTTTTACTGACTAATTATTAAAATGGTTTTGTTTTGACAAACCTTGATAACCATAAGAAGAAAATGTTGCAGAGATATCATCTTTTAAATTAAATTTTCCAAATATTTTCGAAGACCAATTTCTAATTTCATTCCTAATACAATCATATAAAATACTCACTGATTTCAAATTTGTTAAATTTTTAACATCGTCAGATTGTTTAAACTGATATAAATCATTATTTTTTTCATTGCAAGTAATACTATTGAAATCATTAATAACTGATTTTAAAAGATTGAGGTCTTGTATGACGTTATTCACTACTAAAACTTTAAAAGGGTATTTTATGATTTTAACATCACATGTATCCAGTGTAATTGTTTCGCGAATATCGTTATTTAAAGAAAGTTTTATTTGATTTATTATGTCCTCGTTAAATAAATTAGGTCTACATATGTTTTTTTCAACACAAAGTTTTTTACAAGGTGGAGTCATTTTGGAAAAAATTAAATTTCATAATTTTATAATTTTATTTAACGAATTTTACTTATTAATGTCGCCATTTTGATTAATTTAAAATTTCAGTGGAGCCAACATAAGAAGCTTAGCACGGGATAATAAAACACTTCGTTAATCTTATAACTGTATTAATATTAAATTGTTTTTTTTTTTTGTTTTAATTAAAAGTGCACGGAATTTGAATCCGTTTGAAAAGGATTTTATTTAAGGTACTTTTTTTTTTTTATTAATAAAATAAGAACTATTTAAATTTAAATTAAATTATTATATACTTTAATTGAAAATTTTTGTAACTGTTTTTAACTGTACACAGCAAATTAAAAAAAAACATCATGACTTCGGTATTGAAGAGAATTGGAACTCACGATGGAGTGTTTCATTGTGATGAAGTTTTAGCTTGTTTTATGTTAAAAAAGCTTCCTGAATATCAAAATTCAGAAATTATTCGAAGTAGAAATCCTGAAGTTTTAAACACGTGTGATATTGTAGTTGACGTTGGAGGGATTTATGATCCAAGCAAACACAGATATGATCATCATCAAAAAGATTTTAATCATACAATGAACTCATTAAATCCCGACAGACCGTGGAAAATAAAACTTAGTAGTGCTGGATTAGTTTACCATCATTTCGGAGAAAGAATATTAGAATCTATTTTGGGTCCACCCAAAGATTCAGGCACAGTTAGTAACTTGTTTTCTTTTATGTATGAAAACTTCATTCAAGAAGTTGATGGCATTGACAACGGTGTACTAATGTTTGATGGCGAACCTAGATATTCTATACACACAAATTTAAGTTCCAGAGTTAAATATCTTAATCCTTCTTGGAACAGTGAAGAAAATGAAGATAGTCAAAAATTGTTTCATGCAGCCATGGATTTAGTCGGTAAAGAATTTATTGATAGAATTCAATTTTTTACAAAATCCTTTTGGCCTGCTAGAGATTTAGTAAAAGAAGCAATATTAAATAGGAATTCAACTCATCAAAGTGGAAGTATTATTGAATTAAAACAATGTTGCCCTTGGAAAAAACATTTATTTCAGTTAGAAAAAGAATTAGGTATAACTGGACAAATAAAATATGTTATTTTTCAATCTGATTCTTGGAGAATTGAAGCAGTTCCAATAAATCCTGACAGTTTTGTATTAAGGTTACCCTTACATGAAACATGGAGAGGTTTAAGGGATGAGAAGCTGAGTAAAATCAGTGGAATTGATGAGTGCATCTTTGTTCATTCAAACGGTTTTATCGGAGGCAACAAAACAAGAGAAGGTGCCTTGAAAATGGCTTTGAAAACATTAGAATCCAAAGAAGAGAATAGTTGAATTAAACATCTTTAAGAATTTTTCAATTTTATCACAGGTTTTTTTTATTTTTGTAAAACCAAAACAACAGTAATTTAATTTATATTGAATAAATTCATTTATAATAAATAAAAAAACATTTTTTATAATTTTTTTTTTATCGAGTCATTACTTACACTTTTCATAATTTTTATATATTTGTAGCACTATCATATAAATGTAAAAGTGTTAGAGTTTTTTAAACCCGAAACAAAATTACAAATATTTTTTTTTTATCATTTATTATTTATTATTACAAAGTACAATTTATACATGAGGTGGGTATTGAAATGTTTAAAGGATGAAAACGTATAATTTTTCCACGATCGGTAACTTTAAGAAACTTTTCTTTTCTTTTTTCGACTCGCCGTCAAAAAAAAAAAAAAAAATTAATTTTTTTATTAAAAGAAATCCTCGATGGTTTTGGTGCAGACCAAGGAAGGCCTTTGAAAGAATCTTTGGATAATCAACACAATTCGGAAGCACAAAGATATTATGCCACCATTCATAAAGTTCCTCCACAAATAAGCAACGAAAAATTTTCCAGGTTGGATTTATTATGTCATGCGAAACTCAAGCGCAGAAAGCAGCAGAAGACATGATTGTTTTTAATTTTCCAGAAACTTCCGAAGATATTTCACCCTACGCAACGTTTCAATTGTCTGAAACGGGTGCACCGACCACAGCCATGCTTCATAGTTTCATGTATCACGAACAAGCTTTAACCGAAGGGTGTAATTCACCGCCGCCACCACCGCCCCTGGTAAGTGATAATACCCACTTGGAACCTCTCGGAGAAAACAACCCTTAAATAAAAAAAAATTAATAAAATTTTTCAGGGAATAAAAATGTTGGAACGAAGAAGGAGCAGGAGTAGGAGTAGAAAACGTGAAGCTGATAGCGATGGTTCAGATTCTGATAACGACCAATTAACTTCCAGCAGAACTGAATCATCAATAATCAATTAGATACTTCAAGGTTAAAACAAAGTAAGTAAATTTCACGATCACGTGATTTTTTGATGATAAAAAAAGAAATTGAAATTTTTTTCAGGTTATCTTTATCACGGACCTCATTCGAGTACATCTTCGGACAAATCACTAATGTCAGAAGTTAAATCTCTTCCGAAAAGAGGACGCAATAGGTAACTTTTTATTAATAATGATAATTAACACATTGTAAAGGGAGAAAAAAAAATGTTTCGGTTTTTACCCTCCTACCATATCCTTTTATTGTGCAAACTGTAAGAAGTCACAACCGGTGGATAAATTCCAGCAAAACCTCTCTTCGCTCACTGATACTTCCTCCAATTTCAACCGCCGAAACGAGTTTCAACGGCCTTCCTCCAAACTCTCTCATGCATCCGCCGGACAGGCACGATATCAGAGAAACAGAATGCGACATAGACACTATGAAAAAAGTCAAAATGGGACTGAGATCATCGCTTTGGTCTCGCCCTTCAGGCCTTACTAAGCCTACGACGGATTATTCCATTGCCGTTTAAAACGCGGTTGTTCTCTTTTTTTTCGTCACCGGAAACGGAAATAATTGACAGGAAAAGAGAAAGAATATTTTTAAAAAAATTAAAAATTTTATAAAAAATATTTTTAATCGTTTAAGAGTTATTGCAAAAATTTTTACAATTTTTTTCTTTTTTTTTTATAAAATAAAGTACCGTACTTGTAAGTTTTACATAAAAAGATAGGTCAACGTAAAAAAAAAATATTTCTTATTTTTTCTTTTTATAAAATGAACTTGTGTACGAATACGTTTTACATAAAAATTGGTCAACGTAAAAAAAAAATATTTCTTATTTTTTCTTTTTATAAAATGAACTTGTGTACGAATACGTTTTACATAAAAATTGGTCAACGTAAAAAAAAATTTTTCTTTTTTTTTTCTTTTTATAAAATGAGCTTGCGTACGCATACGTTTTACATAAAAAAAATTGGTCAACGTAAAAAAAAAATTTTATTTTTATTTTCTTTTTATAAAATGAGCTAGCGTACGCATACGTTTTACATAAAAATTAGTCAACGTAAAAAAAATATTTCTTTTTTTTTTCTTTTTATAAAAAGAACTTGCGTACGCATACGTTTTACATAAAAAAAATTGGTCAACGTAAAAAAAAAATTTTATTTTTATTTTCTTTTTATAAAATGAGCTTGCGTACGCATAAGTTTTACATGACAAAAATTGATCAACGTAAAAAAAAAATATCTCTTTTTATTTTCTTTTTATAAAATGAGCTTGCGTACGCATACGTTTTACATAAAAATTAGTCAACTTAAAAAAAAATTTTTATTTTTATTTTCTTTTTATAAAATGAGCTTGCGTACGCATAAGTTTTACATGACAAAAATTGATCAACGTAAAAAAAAAATATTTCTTTTTATTTTCTTTTTATAAAATGAGCTTGCGTACGCATAAGTTTTACATGAAAAAAATTAATCAACGTAAAAAAAAAATATCTCTTTTTATTTTCTTTTTATAAAATGAGCTTGCGTACGCATACGTTTTACATAAAAATTAGTCAACTTAAAAAAAAATTTTTATTTTTATTTTCTTTTTATAAAATGAGCTTGCGTACGCATAAGTTTTACATGACAAAAATTGATCAACGTAAAAAAAAAATATTTCTTTTTATTTTCTTTTTATAAAATGAGCTTGCGTACGCATAAGTTTTACATGACAAAAATTAATCAACGTAAAAAAAAAATATCTCTTTTTATTTTCTTTTTATAAAATGAGCTAGCGTACGCATACGTTTTACATAAAAATTAGTCAACTTAAAAAAAAATTTTTATTTTTATTTTCTTTTTATAAAATGAGCTTGCGTACGCATAAGTTTTACATAACAAAAATTAGTCAAGGTAAAAAAAAATTTTCTTTTTTTTCTTTTTATAATTTATAAAATTCATTTTATAAAATGAGCTTATGTACGCATAAATTTTACATAACAAAAATTAGTCAACGTAAAAAAAAAATTTTCTTTTTTTTCTTTTTATAAAATGAGCTCACGTACGCTTAAGTTTTACATGAAAAAAATTAGTCAATGTAACAAAAAAAAAAATTTTTTCATGTTTTTCCGTTACAAAAATTGTTCTAAATTTTTGCATTCGACTCTTAAATAAATTGTTTAAACAATTTTTCGTTTTCGTTTTTTTTGTTAACTAATTTATAAAATTATGTAAAATAAAAAAAAGAATTTTATTGTAAAAGTAAAATAACAATGAAGTTAACAAAAAAAAAAAAAATGATAATAATAATTAATTTTTTTTACATCAAAACATTATGTTTCACAGGTATGTACATTACAACGAACGTCATTTTGTTTTTATACATAAAGATTGGAAAATGAAACAAAAGAATATTCGTAAAATTTCGACAAGGATAAAATCAATCCATCGAACACTACTAATTGATTAGCAAAAAAAAATTTTTTCAATATGGCCGACGTTTATTTACACATATAATTATCGAAGTAAAATCTTTATCATTATTATTATTATTATTATTATTAATAATTTAAATTCGGCGTGACTACGTCAGTTTTTAACGTCTTCGTCGTCGTCGGCGTCGTCGTTGGGATTTCTGTCGGAATCGCAGTCGAATTTGAAGTATCAAAAGCAGACGATTCGTTAATTTTAATAAAAATTTCTTCTCCTTTTGATTTTTTTTCTGCTTCGTTAACAACTTCTTTCAATAAATCAATATCGAGAAGTTTAATATCCGTTTCGTAAAAACTATTAAAAAAAACAACAAAAAATTTTAATTTTGAAAAAAAAAACCCGGAAAAAATTTAATTTACCAAACTTACTCGGTAGAATTTGTAACGTCCGTTAAATTCGAATCAGCAGTTCCATTATCGTCTAATATACCGACTTCGAATTCGATTGTTTTAACGATGTTTGTTATTACCAACCTTGTAAAAAAAACAAAATTTTTTAAAATAATGTTTACGTTAAAAAATTTAACAAAAAAAAATTTACCTGGAATTATTACCCAGATGATGAGAAGAAACGTTTAAATTTTCATCGTATACTACCGGAAGTGTCGTTGATTCTTCCGCCGTTTCCGTCGTTGGAAACGATTGCGTACCGGAAAAAATTATCGATAAACCACCAATAAAAATAAATAAAAACGCTGACGCAGAATTTATCTATTAAAATAAATAAATAAAAAAAACGTCGATAGGCTCTTTAAAATCCGTTAAACTAATAATAATAATAATAATAATAATAATAATAATAATAATAATAATTAAAAACTCACCATTTTGTTTTTTAAAAAAAATTTTTAATTTGTGCGTGTGTGTGTGTGTGTGTTTCCTTTGCGAATTTAAAATCGTAATTTAAAAAAAATTTCATACATCTTAAATATAAATTGATCAAATAATTAGTTAGCTAATTAAAAATTTACCCGATCAATTATCGATTGATCGAAAAAAAAAAAAAATGTGAGAATTAATAAATGAATCACTTTTATAAACTACGCCATTTTTTTGCGTTTTGCAATTCGTTAAAAATTTTCGAAATTTGTTATTTTTTTTTTTAAATATTATTTCCGGAATTTAGTACAACAACATTTTCACCTCACGATTTTTTTTTTAATAATAATAATAAATACTTTTAACCTAATTTTTTTTTAGATTGTTTGTACGTAAGAAACATATTTATACTTCAATGATGTAAAGATCAAAAAACGACGAGTTGAGAGTCATGAGTTCAAATCCTGGGAGAGGGAGTTCAATTTCAGATCGTCCGAACAAGAACAGACCTAAATAAGGGGATAAGTGACCTAGAATCCTATCGAGGTATTGGAGATGCGTCGACCCTTGTTCGAGAGGGTGAAACTGAGTACTTGATCTAAATAGGAAAAATGCGGAGCTGCGAGGAGATAGGAACAGATGAACGATCCACGAGATTCGGGACCCCAGACGTCTCTCTCTCTCTCTCTTTTTTAAACACTCGCAGACTCTGCGGAAGAGGCAGGAACAATGGTTACGGATTGGGATTGTTTCTAGAAGGGTAAAAAGAAGAAGTACCCGGATCTTCCTCAGGTGCAATTTCCCATTTTCTGAAACTTGACTTATCGTCTCATCCAGGTCCTCACGGGTCACGGGGTGTTCGGCTTGTACTTGGCGCGTAAAAAGTAAAATTTTTTTGACGTTACGTCGCTCTCCCTTCTCCCTCAAATTTCCCCGAAAAAAGAACAGAACAAAACGTTCGATAAAAAATGAACGCCATTTTTTTTAAATAAAAAATGATGTCATCGTTTACAAAATAAAAAAAATGCGCAAAATTTAAAATTGTCAGAGGAAAGTTAAAACGGAAGGAAAATATAGAAGACTCTGAAGAAGAACTTATTAAAGGATTCGACCCTGGATCAACATACAAATAACTGGGGATTGAAGAAAATTTTGGGGTAGCCAACAAGGAAATTAAACCTCGATTGAAGAAAGAATATTTAAAAGATTGAGGCTTATATTACAGTCGGAACTGAATGGAAGAAATAAGTTAAACGCCATCGGCACATTAGCAGTTCCAGTAATAGAATACAGTTTTGGCCTCGTCGACTGGACAAAAGAAGAAATCACGCACCTGGACAATCCACACTGACAGAACTGATTTTATCATAATAAAAAACAAGAGTTGGAGTAATTTAATAAAATTATTTATTAATTATTGATTTAAGTATTGATCAAATTTCTATACTTTAAATCTATCAATCTTTAAGGGTTAATTTTCTGATTTTTGATTGTTTTAGGTCTTAATTTGAATCAAGTCAGGAGGAATTGGTAACCTATAATAATAATAATTGATTTTAGCGAAGGGAATTATGAAAAGGAACAACAGACTCCATTTAATAATTGTTACATCTCCTGAGCTGATTATAAGTAGAAGTTGAGCTAAATATCTTGTGATACTGAAGAAGGAATAGAGTTAATTCAATAAAAATACTTGGAACTAATTTACTTATAGTATTTTGTGGATAAAAAATCTTTGTTCTCCTGTTTTAAATGTGAATCTATTGATTGTATATTATTTTACTCCTCCATTTTCTTTTGTTAACCTGTTACATTATAATATATTTTGCCAATAAAAATATTAAAAATACTTGTAACTAATTTATTTATTGTATCGAGTGATTATATCGAGTGGTGAATCTCCATGCACTTTTATTTTGTATTTTATTTTACACTTCCATTTTTTTTATCTTTTCCTATTACCTAATTAACGTATTTTACAATTTAAAGCATTAATAATTCTCAAATTTAATTAATTTAAGGTATCGGACGAATATAAAATCTCCGTCCGCCTGATTTTAAGCGAGATTCCACTAATTACATTTTATTTTACTTTATACCTCCTTGGATATTATGTTTTACGGATACATCGGAAAAAATTTTCGATTAAAAATTAAGTTAAAAATGACCATGAGCGCGAAAATCCAACGTTTACGATTTATTCTAAAGTAGGTCGACCTTGAATCCAAGGCCAT